AGAAAAAAGTAAAGAAGAAAAAATATTATAAACGTGTTTATACGCTCGTTTGAAAACAGGAGGGGTCTGTTGGGCGGGCGGCGTCCAATTTCACTAAGAGTTTATTGAAAAATGCTTGTCCTGAGCAATACTTCCACATGCATAGAGGATTTCAATATAACTTGGCACAAATGTTTATCATTACGAGGTAAGACCCTACAGCCAAGATCAAATAGAGAAAATAAGAATCCCTAAAGAAAGCCCAACACGACAGAATTGAAAATGATGCAGGCTAGTTTTGATTGAGCCTGTTCATGGACGGTACTGTCAAGTGAAACTTCAGTCCACGCCCCCTAGCACTGGCTTAAAATTTGTTGGCTCTTTTACCGTTCAAAGTGACCTTGACCTAGGTTGCAGTGACCTGAAATTCATGCGCGAGAATCAGCCTATGATGAAAATTTGTGCAAAGTTACATAAAAATCCCTTAATGATATACAAGCGTTTTTCAATGAGATCTAGGTGTGACCTTGCTCTTTGACCTAGAGACCTGGTTCATGCGCAGGGTACTATGTGTCATGGCAGTGAATAATTCTATAAAGTAACATTAAATAGCATGTAGGAGATATAATCTGGACAATATCTGGATACATCATCTCTTGTGACATTGACCTTACACATATTAACCTAAATTACATGTGTCACACCTGTAGCTGTAACCATTAATGTAAAATCCATCATTAAATGGTGACTTAATTTGTTATTCACCATTATTATTCTTATTTTCTCTATTTTAATGGCTATACTCCACCTTACAATGGTGAACATTTGTGCCAAGTTACATTAGAATCCCCTTATGAATGTAGACGTTTTGCTGCGTTGTTCTTCCATGCATGTAGAAGATATGCGCCAGACAAAATCTGGATATTTCATCATCTTTAGTGACCTTGAATATATTGACCTAAATTAAATGTACCACAGTCGTAGTCATAAGAATGGCCATTTGTGTTACAACCCCACAATAGATAATGACTAAATGGGCTCTATACATCTTTATATTTTTATCAGAACTTTGACATGTATGAGTGACTTCATAACCTCTGATCTTCTTTCAAAATTCCAGTTCATTTAGTTCCGAACATTGTTTTCTCGTTTAGGGTACACGTATTTTTTTACTTGGGGACCATGTGGAATGGCACTTACTGTACGTGTCACATTGAATGTCTGTCTTGTTTATTATACGTATAATCTGGCGAAATCATCATAAATTGAAGCCCTTGTTCTTTATATTTCAGTCTTAAGGAGTATTCAATCTGTGACATTAAAAGGTAAAACTATCAATGATTATGAAGGGCTAGAAATAATAACAAAACAAAGACACAAGGCAATCTTTATTTTATTATATAAGAAAACTCAGTAACATTTCTTTTCTATTCAATATTAATTTACATGTACGGACATATTTTTTAGACAAAAATGTTTTTAGATTCATGAATATCATGATACATTCATATGCTGATTACCTGTAATAACGACCAAAAACAACAACTTTTTTGCAAAATTATTTCTGTTTTTAATATTTCTAAAGGACAATAAAACGCCTATGTTAACATCTACAAAACAATATAGTCACAATAATTAATTAGATATTTGAACATTCATGCAACAGTGACTTAACAGAGTTAATATGAATCCACCTTGTAAATATATCTTTTTTAAAACTAAATTCATTTGTTCATTTCAAAAATTGATGATTATTTACTTTTGACCATTATTTTGCTCTATACCAGTAACCTTATTCAGCTGGACTTAAAATCTTTCATCATAGAATATGAAAAACAAAATCAACAAGGAAGGGCGGTCCTCTATACACAAGACCGCCGGTACCGACTCCATGTGACAATGTGCAGTCTGACCTTGCTCTTTACTATTGGTACCTAACATTTTTATATTTTGATATCATAATTTTCACAATTCCTTTGGACTGTTCAGAGCAAATCCATTTCACAAATTCATCAAGTTAGGCGGTAAAATAAATGATACATGTACACATGTTTGTACATGAAAGCATTCATACACTTTTGTCAAAAATGTTAAAAAGATTCTATCTTGTTGAAATATCTTTCTGCATGCCATCGAAATAGCTTCTGTGCTTGTTTTCTTGACTCCTCAAAGTCTATCATTAATTGTATACGATCCGTAGGTGGAATAGCATCATCTTTAGCATCCATTCTATTTACGCCCTCTTTTTCTGTACCAAATTCACCGTTTCCATTAATAAGCATTGATCCACCTCGTTTCCAATTACGATTGAAACAATGACGATGCATTTGTGAGGTGTTCATACTTTCGGATATTACGCATTCTGGCACTAAGTCATTCGAAGCATGATGGTGCATTTCTCCGGACGTATTTTCGCTTAAAGGTTTCCAGAGTTTCTCAATGTCAAAATCCACTTTGGAATTGACTAGGCTATCCTTCTGTCCCTTGTTAAAGTTTCGAAATGTTTTGCTCGAACTGTCAGTAGTGTTATTGCGTGGAAAACTCTTTGTGCTCTTTGACTTCAGTTTTGATAAAATTTTGTTATAATCTTTCCGTCGTATCAATTGCAATTTTCTACGAAACTTAACAAGGACTGTACCTGTTTCCAAAAAATGGCTTTCTTTTCTCTTGAAAGAACATCCAACACCGGTTTCTTGCCGGTTATATTCTGTTGTTATTTTTGATCTGGGTTTGGTTATAGATTCAGCAAACTGATCTCGATAAATACTATTTTCTTAATTTACGGCGTTGACCTCTGTTTTACAATCATCTTCAAACTTGTGCTGTCCACTTCTGTCGAAACTCTTATGTGCTTTTTCAAAAGTAACCTTTTCTTCTGATTGATTGAGGCATCTTTCGTCGTCAGGGTGACAAAAAGCAAAAAGATCTGCTTTTCTTTGATTGCGAATGTTCGTCTCATTTATGGTTCTATAACCTGTCTTTGTCATGACACCATTGTAATACTTAATCTCCCTCTCACCAGTTTCTTCATCATTTGTGAAGCCAATTCGCTCCTCTGTTTTTGCATCGACGACTGGATTTCGTATTTCGTCATAGGTTTTTTTACTTGCTTTCTCAAAATGTTTACCGACATTTGCCCCATCGATTGTTATCAGTTTCGTGTCATCAGGTTTCATAAAATACATGTAATCACTTCCGTTGCCCGCATTACATTGATTTTCGCTCTTTCGTAGTATGTTATCCTGAAGTAGTCTTATACTCTTCATATCTCTGTACAAGACTTGCAATGGTCTGTTCAATGCTTCACGGGATAATATTCGATGCTTCCTATCAACAATGCCTTCTGAAGTGTATACATCATCGCGTTTTAGATTGTCAATAAACAGAAATGGATGACAATCGAATATTTTCTCAATTGGCCTTCCTTTTATTTCATATGATATCCTTTCATGTGGATTTTCTATGTCACCACGTTTAGTTTCATTGTCGGACATTGTTTGATCAAATAAACTTTCCTCCGTTGTCAACGTTTTTGTGGTACTCAACGAGTTCTCCCCGGTTGTATTTTTGCAGTTGTCTTCCATATTATTATTGTTATTTCAATCTCGTCAATCTTTCCCAATGTAAATCCGAAGATAATTCAATTCCCTGAATGTCTTACGTAAAGATTAGAATATTTAAAATCAGTATGTTCTTGTAACTGTTTAACATTTATTTTATATCCAGAATTGTTAACATATGATTAAAAAAATATTTTGTTTTATATCTATTTTACCCGTACGAATCAAAAGACATGTTAATCAATCGAACAATACAGTGCGATGACAAAGGTCTAGTATGCAGAACGTGTTTTCAGTGCTATATATGGTAAGTCTTAACGTAACAAGACGGTAGTTTTCACATGTTTCACAATGTGACCGCATCTTCCTTCGTCACACTCTTTGGCTCACTTTTACTACTAGAGCAAGGTTACATATTGGTCTTATACTCCGACATTGCAAAGGATTTCTTTATTTATCGAGACTTCGATCAAAGACTGCTGATTATCGAATTACTTTCTCTTTTAAATTCACCTGCAGAAATGTGATAATAATGTTTCATCGATATTTATCATTACTGCATGTTGTTAGTATAATATTGTTATTGTTTGTTTGGATTCATGAAGATTTCAATACACACGTTTTGGTTATATAATGGCGATTCAAGCACGGTAGGGAATCACGTGACTTTTACGGTTACGCGTACAGACAATATGGCGGCCTAAAAACCTCGCTTCACATGTGTTTTTCAGGTAATTCTTTATTATATCCCTTTTACTTACACACGAGACCTGTTGCAGCCTACGCGGAATAAAGAATTGTTGCCGCCTATACCTTAGTTTCCACCCCTGTGCTCATAGCTTTTACAAACACTCAAAAATTCAACAGAATTTTTCAATGTGAACAATTATATTTCGGGTAACATTCACGCAAAATTTGTATTTTTTATGAATTTGATTAAACTACGTCGGGTTAGCAAAGAGAAAATGTTCATATAATTTCTTTATTTGAAAATGTAAATATTAGGCATGTTAAATGTTGACAGGTCATTTTCTATTCCATTACACGAGAGAAAAATGATTTGGGTAACTCCCACGCATACTTTTATTGTTGATAACTCCCACGCAATATTTTATGTGCAGGCAATATCTATTCAGGTTATAGCCTAGATATTGATTGAAAAAAATCATGATTGATGCATTTAGCATCAAACTTTCATAGAATTTTGAATAATATTAAAAATACCGCCAATAGGTCCTTGATAAAAGTATCGCAGCAGGCACATCAACGGTGAACAACGTTGAAGTATGGTCAGATTTCAACGTTGAAATAACGTTAGATTTATGTTCGAATTTGAAAGTTTAAAAAAACGTTGAAGTTCAACGTTGGCACAACGTTGAAGTTTCAATGTCATTTCAACATACTTTAATTCTAATATAAAGCAAAGTACTGTAACAGAGTTTAACAAAAAAATCAAGACACTTTTAAATACTTCAGCTATTTTATTTCAAAACTACAGTTCAAGTGTAGCTTAAATTCAAACGATTTAAGAAGTCCTTTTAGTTTAACAATTAAGCTACAATCTGTTCCAATCTACCACTAGTACTTCTTCTAGAGCACTCTGGGTATGTCTTAAGTGTTTCATGATGGTGTTTGAATACTTCTACTGCTTCTGCAAATAAAATAAGAAGTTACTAGTTGACTTGGTCAATCTCAAATTATATATAATAAATCAACTTAGTGATTTGTTTTATCTTAAAATGCTTATCTTCTAAGATTTACGTAATAAAAAAGCATAGAAATTAAGATACAGCTGAAGTTTCATATTGACAGTAAATTATGTACAAAAAACAACAAAAACTTTTTAAAAAGAAGCTATTTAAGTCTGACCTATGATTGGTAAGAAAAACTGCTCCCATCAGTTACGTCAGCATTTTCACAAGAACAGTCCTTTCCATGTTAAATTTATGGTATAGAAGCTACAGCTGTAATACTCTTAATTTCAGCCAGGACCAGGATCTAGAATATAAAATAGACTTATTATTCCCTATAAATTCACGGCAATTAAACTTAAAATTTAACACTAATCTTTATTATTTAACCTCAAACAGTTTAATCAATATTTGTTTTGATAATGCAATGGATTTAATGTATTTTTCAAACTAATTCACATTTAATTTTACTATCACTAAGATATAAAATGAATACAGCTAAATTGACGAATCGTCTTGGGACGTAAATTATATGGGGCGAACAACACTTCATCTACTTATAGGTTACAATAATATGATAAATAAATTTCAAAAAGGCATGGCTTGTAAAATCATAAATTGCCAAGGACACCAATAACTTCGCGTAAGGCCTACCAAACCCAAATCATTCAATTAGGTCGCCTTTTGATACAAAAGTCTAAAATATTAGAAGGAGGTTTTGTATTTCTGTTTTTATAAATAAAATTACAGTGGGAAACATTTCATTTACGGATAGGTCTCAAATATTGACCATATGAACAGTCTACACGGCACAGGACCTTATAAGGTGTCACACCGGTACGGAATTAGACCCAGCCCGTTGTAGTCTAGAAAGTAGTTCTTTTAAATTTTGAACTGGCCTATTTCAAGTCATCTTAATTGATACTGGTTATATTTTAAGTATATCTTTAGTAATTATGTACATAAAGTTTCATTTCTGAGTACTTTAAAGGTTGTTTTTGATGTATTTTTGCAGGTTTTCATTTCTGGGTGGAAGGTTTCATAAGGCACTATGCACAAGAATACACACCAGATGCACAAGAATACACACCAGTTACTATTTGGAATATTCTATAGTGATTACAGAAATTAAAAGCTGCAGAAAAACTCCAAGGGCTAATGTATCATTTTTTTGTGCTAAATTTACTTGGACTGCATTGGTGTTTAAAGAAATGGTCATGAATTTTCGGTACCGGATTTGCTTTGTCCAGAATTTAGCCTTAAATGTGATGGATTTACTATAGGATATATGGGTCGAAAATTCAGTAGGCCGTCTCCATAAATGTTGTGGTAAAACATTTTATAGCCCAGCAAATCGGAAACGTTACGGGTTTTACTGTTGATATTTAGATGACATTCAAACATAAGTCCTCTATATTTTATTACCTAGTTTGTAAAATAAAAGACCCATTCTAATATTGTTTAGGTTTTATTTTCTTTTATGCTTTAGATTAAAAAAAAACACAACATAATAATGTTAAATACAGACACTAATTTAAAAAAAAATTGGTTACATAAAAGACTAAGTGATATTTAATGACTTGAAAATCTTAATATAACGAATAACATAAAATGCCATACCTGTCACGTTTCGACTTGCCACAACATTTACAAGGTCCTGTGCCGAGTAGCCAGTTTATGTGGTCATTAAGACAAATGTTGTCCAACATTATCCACAAACAATATCCGAGCTGGAACCGTCCATATCTGCAAACTATAAAAAATGACAACTGTAATTGTGCTTAAACTGAAATCGACCTCCTTCTTATATTTGAGACTTATTTTAATTTCTGCGATTAATTCATCTATATCGAAACTTCATTTAATATATTCACGTGAGTATGTATTCTGCTATCCATAGGGGCTTAATTCTATCCAGGACCTTTTGGCTGTATTTTTAATATTATTCAAAATTCTTTGAACGTTTAAGGCTAAATGCATCAATCATGATTTTGTCCAATCAATATCTAGGCTATAACCTGCATAGATATTGCTTGCCCATAAAATATTGCGTGGGAGTTATCAACAATAAAAGTATGCGTGGGAGTTACCCAAATCATTTTTCTCTCATTTATTGGAATAGAAAATGACCAGTCAACATTTAACATGCCTAATATTTACATTTTCAAATAAAGAAATTATATGAACATTTTCTCATTGCTAACTCGACGTAGTTTAATCAAATTCATAAAAAATACAAATTTTGCGTGAATGTTACCCGAAATATAATTGTTCACATTGAAAATTTCTGTTGAATTTTTGAGTGTTTGTAAAAGCTATGAGCACAGGGGTGGAAACTAAGGTATAGGCGGCAACAATTCTTTATTCCGCGTAGGCTGCAACAGGTCTCGTATGTAAGTAAAAGGGATATAATAAAGAATTACCTGAAAAACACATGTGAAGCGAGGTTTTTAGGCCGCCATATTGTCTGTACGCGTAACCGTAAAAGTCACGTGATTCCCTACCGTGTCAAGGCTTTCCTATGAAAGTGACCGATTACTTCCACATTTTAATTAACATAAGTGATGAAGGCAAATATCTGAGATCAGTTTTCAGTTTTCACTTGGAAAATATGACAAACCCGAGGATTGAACAAGAGATCCCTCCCATTATAAATCCCGGGGTGTATGACCATGTGGAATTTTTTTACGGTATCATTGGGTTTCATTTCTCTCTGTTGAAAATATTTAGGTCCTGACTAAACAGCAAACATTGAAATTATTCAAGTACTGACTGAACAGCAAACATTTAAGTATTTTAGTATTGACTGAAAAGCAAACCTTGAGAGTATTAAAGTATTTCTGAACAGCAAATATTGAAAGCATTTAAGTACTGACTTTACAGCAAACACAAAAACTGACTCAACAGCAAATAGTTAAAGCATTTAAGTACTGACTGTACAGCAAACACAAGTACTGACTGTACAGCAAACATTGAAAAAACTTAAGTTCTGTCTGAACAGGAAACATTGAAAATATTTAAGTACTGTCTGAACAGCAAATATTGAGAGTATTTAAGTAGTGACTGAACAGCAAACAGTGTCTCACATGATCAAACCTGATCTACACTTTGCACTTGCGACATCGATAAATTCAATTACCGCCGGTATAAAACCTTTTCAGTGAGGTGATACCAGGCGGGCGCATCCGCGAAATCTTTACCAGCCGGTATTTTGAACAAAAAACGAGTCCGTCCTGTAAAAATATCAGAATAGACTTGAATTTCATTTCTTTTGCAAAGAAGATGTTCTTACTGTCTAGCTTGAATATTCCAAATGCTTTGACAGAACTTTCCCTTTCTTGTCAGTATTTCGCGTTGAATGCGTTTAGAGTATATAATGTCAACATTAACTGGTTTATTAGATACTGTATTTGAATAATTTATCTATAGCAAAAAAAAAGAAATGCGATCGAGATTTATTCAATTTTTTGACATTTACATAACATAGATATACACGTTGAAATTAACGTGACAATAGAAAACGACAGTATGGGATAGTTTCCTTTTTATGTAAGTGTCCGAGATACGTGACTGGTCAGAAAGACAAAAAACTATCCTTTCATGTTTTCGTAATACAACGTTAAAGCTGCATGCCTCAAGATGAGCCAAAATATTTTAAGAAAATCAAATTTGAGGGAAAAAACTGAGATTTTAAGAAAAATCAAAATATTCAAGATAAAAGCAATAATTTCCATGTAATTTGCAATTTATGATTTTGCAGTATTTTTCATCATATTTCTAATGCGTTACTAACGCAGTCAGGCTATTTCGGCCAATTTTGATATCATTTTGGTAATTTAAATGGATTGTAAGTGCTGTTTGCAATGTGAAATTCATTTCTCTTGTTATCTTAACAATATTTTACTTTTTAATACATTATCAAAATTTTCATGAAAATTACCATGTATCTTGAGGGATTCTGCTATAATTTGTTATTAATATACTGTTAAGCTGGATTCAGAAATACAGACAACTTATATGCGTGCATTTATGCATCGGATATCCAAAACAAGTTTATTACTCTTTTGAATAGTGTAGTCTTTTTTAATTGATTAAAAACATGAAATTTCAGACGTGTTTGAAAACGAAACCATTATGTTGGCTAATGGTTAATTTTGGTTTAGACTGTCGCGGTCAAAAATAAAGTAAATAAAAATCCCTAAATCTTCATATTTTCATATTAAGCTTACCTTATATACAAGATGCTAGGATCCTTGATTGTCCGTCGTCAATCCACAATTGTTTAGAATGACATTTCCTGTAACCAAATGAGCAAATAATGATATATGCTTATTTAAAATGTAAGACGTCATGACGTTACAATGTTAATATTGCAAAATAATTATGTAATATTTCATGAATTTATTTTATTTTCAATATGATAATTATAAGCGAAAATGTGTATGGTGCTTCTTGTTATCAATCACATTTTATTTAAGACGAATTCTTCTTTGATTTCCCATTTAACCCCCTCCACTCGCTCTACAGTTCTTGTCATTCTTTATTTTAAGAACTATGACTGGCCTACGCCCCGGTTGTTTTCCCTTCCCTCCCAAGCCGATTATAAAATCCTGCTACGGTTCTGATATTAATGTCCCAGAAAAATAAAACTTCTGAGTTTATGTTTACACATTTTTAAAAGATAATGAAGGTGAAACGGAAATAGCGTACAGCGAATCGGCCACTGGCAACTTGTTTATTCCCAAAATAATCACCTCTTCTACATACCCGAGTATCTGCGTCTACTTCGAAACCTAAATCTTTGTCTCACACTTTGCATTTGATTTTTATATAAAACAAATAGGATACAAATTACTTGTTGTTTCAGCTTCTCATTCTAGTTTATATTTTTCAACTTTAACCTCTATGCTAACGCTATTGCTTACATATTTTGTGTACTTTATGTGATCATCACTTTAGTATCCGAATTTTCAGCTTATTGAAGAATGCAACTTCTGTCACTGATTTACCACTTTTCAACTTATATCTTAGAACATCAAAGAAATCAACTCTAAATTACAACAGATAAAGTTGTAAAGGTCAATAGGCCTACTCCATTAGGCCTTCTCCAAAAATAAAATTCACATCGTTATTAATGTAAAGACCACTTTAAAAGAGAAGACTGAAAACGAATCATTTGTAGTTCTTGATTTCCGTAGCCTTGGTGAGTTCTGCCACCCTCAGTCGCCTTAAAGTAAATGATACGCATTTTACATTATCCTTAAGCGTTTAATATATATGCAACTTTTTTCTTGTTTTACGATAATTTCCAAAATAATTTCGTTTATTGGAAAACTGGCCATTTGGGTCCATCCGTTGAAATGGTACACTCGTTGCTTAGTACTGATTGATTTAAGAGTAAGTCGATAATCTTATAGTTTCCTACACAATCTATTTTGATTTGATTTTATGGTTTAATCAACAGTCATACCAAAGCACAAAGCCTATATATTTTGCATTTTTATACCATTTTATAAATGAATAGCCTCATCGACCCTGACACTCATTATTTTTGTACAAAATATTTTTGAATCATGACAGTATACTTGGAATTTTTGCTATTTATTTGTAATTTGTAAATAAATGGTTTGCTGGCATGGCTTTGGCAGCAACAGGCGAGGCTGTAATAGAAAGTTTAATTATATAATTTGTTTTACAATAATTTCACTTTCATGTAGAAATAAGATAAGTGTCTGTTCACCTCTGGCTATTACATTTTGACTTGCTACTTTATTCTGATAATATATGAATATTGTGACTAAGAAAAGTTCCTTCCGTTGACACCACAACGACATTTTAATTAATTTCTACATCAACTTACAGATGCTTAAATCATTTTTGAATGAAAAACTTTGAAACCATGCAGTTTGATTAATTTTCAAAAAAGAGGGAATAATTAGAATTTCAGATAAATGATAACTTTTAAGGAATAAGGGAATTAATATTCTGAATATTTATCATATCACACGATTGTCTTCCTATTGATAGTTCACTTCTTTTACTTCTTTTTCTCTTTTTCTGGTGATGATAGTCATTAAGATTCATATGAAATTACATATGAAATATTGAAAGTTGTACAATGTATTTTATAAAAACAAGTATGTAACGCATACTTTTAATATAGTAATCTATAGATAGAATTTGTAACAGTAATAAAGACTTTTGGCTCAACTAGATTATTCATAACAATTCATCTTTTTTCTATTTTGGTCACATTTTATAAAATAGAAACGTAACGTCCAAAATCACACTGATATTTACTTCTTCTGTAGCAGTTCGCCGTTTAAATTATTTAAAATTGTGACAATTACATAGAGGATATTTGTTTGTTTTGCATGTAAGATTGAAATATAATTTCACTGAGTGAACACCAGATGCAATATTTTCACGAGTGGCGTAGCCACGAGTGAAAATATAATAGCTGGTGTTCACGAATGAAATATATTTCAATCTTATATGTAAAACAAATAAATTTTCTTTTTATTTTATGCTTTTTAAGTGATTTTAAATATTTTTTTACTGATTTTGCCGCGTAACGTCGCGCATTTTCCTCTGTGACGTCATTATATCATGACGTAACATCATAAGTTTTGAAATATAGTTCTGTTAAATTTCTCTAATTTTGTTAAATTTTTAACATGATAAGTGATGACATTGACTTTCTTTTCCTTATTAAGCAAATTTACGTATGACGGCATTTATTTCTGCCTGTTATTCCATTTGGTTATGATTTTCTTTTCATCCGCATTCAGATATAGTCCGGCTACAGTGAAAATTATATTTTACAAATTTCACTAGTGGTTTATCCAGAATATTGCAATAAAACACTTGAAAGCATGAAATAAAAGGGTATGTTTTAGTTTAACGAATAGAAATTAAGGAGCAATCTTACAAATTCCATTCAAAGAATTATTATTCTGAGAATCAAGTGGTTTTAGCTTCTCCTACAAATGTCTCTAATTGTCCCCCGCCTTTTAGAAGAAAAAAGGGGGATATAGAAATAGGCTCCGTCCGTCTGTCCGTCTTTCCGTCCGTCTGTCCGCACAAACCTTTTAGGTATAGGAGCTAACTAACGGTACACTGGGACAAAAGAGAACAAAGGTCTTCATTCCGTAAATAATAGTTAGCTCATAAGGAAACAATAGTTAGCCCACAAGGAAACAAAAAAAGAACAATAGAAATAGCTCATAAACCTGAAAAATTGGTACTTCCGTCCGTCCGTCTGTCCGTCCGTCACACTTTCGTGTCCGGTCAATAACTTTGTCATTTATTGAAGGAATCTGAAATAACTTGGCACAAATGTTTGTTATAATAAGACGATGTGTCATGCGCATCAACCAGACCCCTACCTTCAGGGTCAAGGTCGCACTTGCTCATTCAAGGTCAACATTGTCTATTTGAGGATATATGTCGTGTCCGGTCCATAACTTGTTTATCTTTGAAGGGATTTTGTAAGTACTTGCCACAAT